GTGCAAGGCTGTGGAGGAGATGGGGGAATCTGGAGGCCCAGTAGACGCATCTGAGGGCAGACGGGAGGGGAAGAGAACAGAAAGTCACGTGGGACGAGTAACATCTTGGCAAGGGGAGAGGGGACAGACAGGACAATGGGTGAGAACAATAAAAAGGAGAGAAAAAGAACAGAAGAAAATGTTAGAAGGCTAGAAGAGGAGACAGGACGGGAAGAACAGCAGCAGGGAAGAATGAAGCAACCGGAAAAGACGCACACATTTAAGGACAGATTACTTGTTCTTTTCTCCCACTCCACAAAGCCTAGACAGGGCCAAACCATTCCCCGTTCTTGGCCTCTGGAAAAGGAAACCTCCCCTTTCTGGTCAATGCAAGGAGATCAAACTGGGAGCAACAAGCTAGACATCTTGATCCTTATTCGGGTACCGAAATGGTTGTGAGAGATGCTCCCATCAACACAAATGGGGCCTTCGAGAGGCTCCGTCACTCTGAAAAGAGGCCTTCTCTACGCACCCACGTTTGAAATCCAGCTGCCATGTCCCCATATGTACATCTCCATAGGAGCTTTGCATCTCGCTTGTGTGTGTGTGTGTTACAGAAGCAGCAATGAGCAAGGAAGGGAGGCAGGGGTGGTTTCCTCCTAAGCAGGTTAACAGCAAAGACTGTTTAGCAGAAGCATAGCAAAGTCCCTGATACAAAGGATCCCTCGGGCTTTCCTTTCATGGCCGTATCAATCCTGACGAGGAAGATGCAGATGGCACAGAGCTGCCTGCATCCAGAACTTGCATCTGTTTAGTTAACCTGGCACATAATGCGGAAACGATACTCTTATTGGGTTATTTCATGTCAGCATAACCCAATTTTCTTTTTAATGGCTTAAACTCATTGAAATAAGGCATTCCGACACCGAAATACAGGGGGTCCCCACTATAAGTCGCCCGGATATACGTCCGTTCCACACTAAAGTCGTTGATGTTTGTTGAAACTGATGGGCTGTGTCTAGACTGACAAGTTTTTCCGCAAAAGCAGGTGGTTTTGCGGAAAAACTTGCCAGCTGTCTACACTGGCCGCTTGAATTTCCGCAAGAACATTGACTTCTTACTGTCTGAAATCAGTGCTTCTTGCGGAAATACTATGCTGCTCCCGTTCGGGCAAAAGCCTTTTTGTGCAAAAGGACCAGTGTAGACAGCTCAGATTTGTTTTGCGCAAAAAAGCCCCGATGATGAAAATGGCAATCGGGGCTTTTTTGCAGAAAAGCGCGTCTAGATTGGCACGGATGCTTTTCCGCAAAAAATGCTTTTGCGGAAAAGCGTCCGTGCCAATCTAGATGCTCTTTTCTGCAAATGCTTTTAACGGAAAACTTTTCCGTTAAAAGCATTTGCGGAAAATCATGCCAGTCTAGACGTAGCCATGCATTATAAGTCCACCCATTCCCCACTATAAGTTGTGCAAAACACTCCCCCCAGTTTGCTTACATTGAAGTCAGCCGCGGGAAAAAAATTCCCTGCTTTACATTGTTTCGCTATAAGTCCAAGTTTTTTGGAACGTATCTTGGTCTTATAGCAAGGATGCCCTGTAAGAGTCATCTAAACTTGCTTTGGTTTGACTATTATTATTTCTATTATTATTTCTAAAGAATGCCAGTTGTGGCTCGTTGGTAGATCTCATTGTACTAGGAAAACACAGACCAAACACCATCCTATGCCTACTATGGCAGAAGGCAGCAATATTAGTCAGAACAACAGGGCAGGGGGTTTTCCACCAATTTAGTTAAACCGGTACAACTTTGTGTGTGGACACTGAGCGTATGTCTACACAGCAACATTATTTCGAAATAACTTAGTCCGCATCTACACAACAGGCAGTTATTTCGAAATAGGGTCAAAATGCTGTCAAGCTGGAGGATTTCTTACTCCGACTCTTGTAACCCTCATTGGATAGGAAGTTGGAGGACACTCCTCATTTCGAAATAAGCTATTTTGAAATAAGCGACGCAATTGACGTAGTTTACTTTGTGTCGCTTATTTCGAGTTAAGCGCTGTTGTGTAGATGCGATGCACTCTTACGTTGATTTTCAAACAGGCTTACTTCAGATTAGACTGCCACTGTAAAGGTTTGTTTCTATGCAAATTGGAACCAAAATAATGTAAGTTGTTTTAATTCACAGCTTTAGTTATTTCCGGGCAGACCTGGGTTTGGACACTACTTATGTCAACTGAAGAGTATATGATATCAGTGCAAAGGAAGCTGATATTTGTACTGAATTTAATGTATTGGACTAGGATGCTTTTATTTACTTTAATTCCGGGTGGGATATAAGCCAGAAAGCTGAGTTCAGGGTGTCCACACTGGGGTTTGTATCAGTTTAACTAAATTTTTTTAAACCAATTTAAGTGAAGTCAGTGCAGCTTCTGTGTGTAGACAAAACCCGAGGTAAACTGGTGCCGTGTGTGTTTGTGGGAAAGGCCACAGATGCGTGTAGTCCTGTGCATGTAGTCCATTTCAGTATCAGGTACTAGGTGATATAGAAAGGCTGTGTCTACACTGGCCACTTATTCCAGAAAATCAGCCGCTTTTCCGGAATAACTTGCCAGCTGTCTACACCGGCCCCTTGAGTTTCCGGAAAAGCACTGACGATCTCCTGTAAAGTCATCAGTGCTTTTCCGGAAAAACTATGCTGCTCCCGTTCGGGCAAAAGTCCTTTTCCGGAAAACTGTTCCGGAAAAGGGCCAGTGTAGACAGCCCAGATTTCTTTTCCGCAAAAAAACCCCGATCGCAAAAATGACGATCGGGGCTTTTTTCCGGAAAAGCGCGTCTACATTGGCACGGACGCTTTTCCAGAAAAAGTGCTTTTCCGGAAAAGCATCCTGCCAATGTAGACGC